ACACATAAAATAAAAGGCAAAATTTTTAAACATAAGCATAAACTCAAAAGTCCCTGCTCTATAGCTCTGTACAATTTTAATACATTTCTATAACCCATTATAGGGATAAAAATTTAGAAAGAGAAGAACTACCTCCTTAAATTGATTCCACATATTAATAATCATAAGCTTTGGAAAATCTATATAAAAAATATTAAATCACTGCAGTCGCCAAAATAATGGGACTTATGTTGATATTTCTCAGCTTCTATTGATAAATCTGTTTTAGAATCTTTGCTACAAGTGCATTTTTCTAGTTCCTCTATTTTCTGGTAATAACCTCAACAAATTCTATTTGTTTCTCTACATCCCAAACCTGTTCCTCAATTTTATAGGATGCCTTAAGTGTCCTTTAAAAATTCAGTATATAGGAGGTGCGTGGGTGGCCCCACCAGTTAAGCGGCTGCCTTCGGCTCAGGTCATGATGCCAGGACCCTGGGATCCAGCCCCACATTGGGTTCCCTGCTCAGCTAGGAGCCTGCTTCTGCCCCTCCCCCCGGCTCATGCTCTTTCCGTTCCCTTGTGCGCTCTGTCTTAAACAAAATCTTAAAAAAAATTTTTTCAGTACATAAAACCAAACCAGATATGAGTAAAGTTAACAAAAATTTACAAAGTATGTACTAGGCCCCCTGTATTCATGATATAATTTATAATTTAATAGCACCTATGGGATAAACTTAAATATGAGAAAATTTAAGCTTAGATTAAATAAACTGTCCAAGGTCACACAGCCTAAATAAGTGGTAGGGCCAGAACCTGAACCCAGGTCTGTATGATTGGGAAATCTATTCTCATAAAATCTACAGTATATTGCTTTACATTTAAATACCACTTAGTTTTTAAAATACTTCCACATGGATTACCTAGGGTTTATCTCACTTGAACTCACAATACCCTTGAGAGGAAGATTCTCAAGTATCAAATCCTAAGCCTCCACTCCCAACTTTACTTTAAAAAGCATGTAACTAAAGTGGCAAGGCTGAACACTCATCCTCTGATTTTTATTCTGGTGCTGTATCACTGGTAGCCTACACAGAGCCACATTTTTTTAAAATTTTGTTTTATTATGTTATGTTAATCACCATACATTACATCATTTTTTTTTTTTTTTAAAGATTTTATTTGACACAGAGAGAGAGACAGCGAGAGAGGGAACACAAGCAGGAGGAGTGGAAAAGGGAGAAGCAGGCCTCCTGCCTGTAACAGGGAGCCCGATGCGGGGCTCGATCCCAGGACCCTGGGATCATGACCTGAGCGGGGCTTGATCCCACAACCCTGGGATCATGACCAGAGCCAAAGGCAGAAGCTTAATGACTGAGCCACCCAGGCGCTCCACACCATTAGTTTTTGATGTAGTGTTCCGTGATTCATTGTTTGCGTATAACACCCAGTGCTCCATTCAATACGTGCCCTCTTTAATACCCATCACCAGGCTAACCCCCACCCCCCTCGCCTCTAGAACCCTGTTTCTCAGAGTCCATAGTCTCTCATGGTTCATCTCCCCCTCCAATTAACTCCCCTTCATTTTTCCCTTCCTAATATCTTTTTTTTTAAAACATATAATGTATTATTTGTTTCATAGGTACAGGTCTGTGATTCAACAGTCTTACACAATTCACAGTGCTCACCATAGCACATACCCTCCCCAATGTCCATCACCCAGCCAACCCATCAGAGCCACATTTTGACAACTCACTCTTCTTCCTTTCTCTTCCATATTTGGATGATAACCGTACCTACTAGTAAACATATACGCTGTGAAAATAAGTTGATCACTGCATTAATAAAGTCTACGTTTCTGTCTATCCATGATTTGGATGGTTATTATTACCAATTTATATTTGAAAACTAATACCTAGTACACAATTTTAGAAGGAGCTATGATTTTTTTTTTAAGATTTTATTTATTTATTTGACAGAGAGAGACACAGCGAGAGAGGAACACAAGCAGGGGGAGTGGGAGAGGCAGAAGCAGGCTTCCCGTGGAGCAGGGAGCCCGATGCGGGGCTTGATCCCAGAATCCTGGGATCAAGACCTGAGCCAAAGGCAGACACTTAATGACTGAGCCACCCAGGCACCCCAGAAAGAGCTATGATTTTTAAGAGGTTTAAAACTAGTTTAATCTTCCTAACTGTCAAACATTCATCCAATAAATAAATAAATAAATAAAATTTACTAAAGACTCATCAGGTACTTCAGCATCCTGGTTCTAAAGACAACAGTAGAATCACTATCCTTGAACTCCTAGAAGCTTTATGGTTTACTAAGGAACAGCCGAGCCAACAGTAATCAAATACAATGTGCTAGAAGTGAAAATAGAAGAACAGAAAATATTGTGTGTGCTATAGGACTAAGGGGCTAGTTCTGCCAATAGGGGGACAAAGCATTTTTGGTGGTGCTGATAATCTATAAAGGCAGAGAAATGTTAAGAAAGACTTCGACCTCAGAGTAAGCAGTGTCAGGGACCTTAACACAAAAACTCTTGTGGGTCAATCACTGTTGGGACTACAACACAATTCCCCAATGAATGTTAAGGTTTTTCCATGTAATACTCATAAACTGATAAAAAGCTAGTTTCAGGGGCGCCTGGATGGCTCAGTCAGTTAAGCGTCCGACTCCTGATTTTGGCTAGGGTCATGATCTCAAGGTTGTGGGATCAAGCCCCAAGCCTCGGGCTCTGTGTGCTCAAGTGTGGACTCTGCTTAGCCTCTCTCTCTGCTCCTACCCCAGCTCTATCTCTAACATAAATAAATAAAATCTTAAAAAAAAACAACAAAAAAGACAAACTAGTTTCAGAAATGGCTTTCTAGCTTCAAATCACTTGTTTGTGTATGAATTATGCATAATGTTAAAGCTCTTTTTTACACTCAACTTTAATAGCAATTTAGTCCAATTCCTGTTGCTAATTTCATTAGTGGTCTAAGCTACTGCCTTCAGAGTTCCCTAAAATTGGGGAAATTGTGAAGTAAAACTGCAGACTCATTCACAACCTCTTTCATATTGACATCTTCCCCTCTAGAATTCAATGCTCTTTAGCTGGTTTTTCTCTTTCCTACTTTGGTCTCACCCAGACAGGACTGGTTTGGACTTCCAGAGCTTTTAAAAAATGTGGCTTATTTGGTGGAATGTCACCTGGTCAATGAAGCAACACTGCTTATGTTTTTCTCTCCTCTAGAGATCAGAGAACGTCACTCTGGAGCAAACTAATGGATGAAACTATATTTATTTTGGTAGCAGGCAGGGCTACATAAACATACCAGTAGACTAGGACCATAGCTAAGACTGTAAATCCAGGATAGTGGTCTTGTTTATTACATAGGGAAAGCAAGAAACATTTTTAAAGTTATGTTTTCTAGCAAGGAGCATCAATAGGTCAGTTTTTCTATTTTGAACTTACTATAAAAATATTTTGTTAAATATTACACTAGAATTTTAACCTTTTGTTCCCCTTAACAAAATCAGTTTATTGTAGAGAATTTGGATGATACAGAAAAACAAAAACAAATCAGTCACATTCACTACTCAAAGATAAGAATTCCATCTTCCTCACTTTTCAGCCGTCTTTCTAATGGATTCTTTTATTTCGTTGGCTAGAAAACTACAAGGTTTAACAGAGGATATGACTTTACAGATTTTAAAAAAGTGTAATTTAAATTTTAAAGATCATAATTTCTGTAAGGCCTTTCAATTTAAAAGAACCAGGGGGCTTTCTGAGTTTGCAGTATAAATAAAAGAGTTTAACCCCAAACTGAAAAACACTCTTCCCTAAAGCACATTGTTTAAGGTCAAAACACTGGTTACTACATTATATATGAAGTGGGAGTACATTGGGCTGGGCAAAAACCTAAGCCAAATAATTCTGTATTTACACAAAACACTATTCATCAAAATCTGAAGAAATCACTTGGAGTTATACAAATTGGAAGGCTAAGGAGTAATATAAGTGCTACTTAATATAAATTTACCACTGGTCAAGGAATTGATTGGGAACAGCAATTAAGTAGGATTTCACGTAGAAAGGACAAAAGAGAATGTCAAAGGCAGAAAATATGAAGTAAAAGATATCTTGACTTAAACTTCTTACCTCTAAATTTAAGGTCAAATTGGTTTCATTTTATTTCCAGCCCAATCAGTTTCTTAAGAATTACTTCCCTGTCGGGGAAACCCAGTCACTTTTCCATAAGCTAGTCTGGGTCTCCTGCAGAGCACGAAACCGCAACACCATCATCTTTCAACGCCTCCCCATTCAATTGAGACTGTCGCATTACCAACACCTCCTGTTTTGAAGCCAATACATCTTTATTCTTTCAACCGTTTTCCCCCTTCCTCCACCATAAAATCAGAGAAAGGTAAAAGGCCTGTTTTTACCCTTCCAGGCCCAACCAAATTCTGTGAACATCTACAGAACGCCTCACACAGGGAGGTCAGATTAAAAACTCCGAATTACTGAGAAAGCGCATTCGGAGCAAGCTTTACAGTGACTCCGCAGTGAGGGCCACATCAGTGACATTCTCTCCCAAGCCTGTCTCACCGGAGACGCCTCTGCCTCCAGGGTTTTTCCTACCTCCCAGCTTCCCAGCCCAAGGCTGAAGACTGAGCAGGGCCTCTGCAAAAGAATGGGCTTTGGAGAATAAGACCTGGAGACTACTGCGGACCCTGAGAAATGGCTGAACCAAACCCACGAACCAAACCCACTACCCGAAGCCCCAGACTCCGAATAGGGAACCATAATGGCCGTACTCAACCCCAACCCCGGGAAAGGTGGACGTCTCACCCCTAAGTGGCGGGGGCGACCACAGTGGGTGAAGCGAGGGTCAGAACTGGAAAAAAGAGCTCCTAGCCAGTGCAGGATGACAGCGGGGAGGAAGCCCCGGACAACGGAGGCCGCCGTTCACACTTTCTCTTCTCTTCCCACCCACTCTCCTATTCCCACCAGTCGCCGGTTACCGGTCGCCGCTCACCTGCCGGGTCGCGAGGTGCAGAAAACAGTACCGATCACGGACCAGAGGCTCTGTCACTGCGGGAGGGGAAGTCTTCAGCTGCAGAAAGGGGCGGGCCTAGACAGTCACGTGACCTCGAGCTCCGCCCTGCCGCCCCGAGGCAGGCGTGCTGCCTTTCGGGGACCTGTATTTTTGCGAATCGTTTTAACATTAACTTTATTGCGATGAAATCAGAGAAAAAACAAAAATTTCACAAAGATTGTGTCGTAAAGTGTAATGTAGAGGGCGTGCGTGAAACGGGTTAAAGTGCATTGCTAAGGAAGTGACGTTTATGCTATGGTCTAGGGACCGGAAATGGCGACGACGTTGTCCTACAGTGGCCCGCCGGTAAAATACCAGGCTGAATCCCAGGCAATCACATGATCTCAAAACTTGGATCGTGCTGGACAGAAGCCAAGTTATCCGGCCGATTGTTAATTACGTTGGTCTTAAAAAACATCTCATTTGAGTCTGCCACAGATTTCTTTTAAAATCTTATTAGGAGACAGCGTTTGAAGGTCATTCTGGAAACTACCAACTGGAAGAACAGGACCGGGTCGGGGAAAATTGATCTTGCTAAAATTGGAGAAGAGAGGGAGGGGTGGAAAAATCCAGATTTTACCGCCAGGGCCTACCGAGCAAGCCCCACAAGTACTGTCGTAAGGGATGGGAGGAGAAAAATGACGCCAGAGGCCACAGTCCAGTAGGAAAATGGAGGTCCTGAAGTGGAGGGGGAAGGGTGCGCGGAGGCCAGCAGTGCGGCTGCGCGCGAGGCGGCCGGCGCGCCGGCGCGCAGAGGGGGCGGGGTGAAAGGTCACAGCGCGGCGGCGGGTCTGGCTGGCGGCTGCGGCGGGCGGGAGTGGATTGCCCGGTGTGCACGTGTGGAGAAGCGGCGGCACAGCGCGGCGGCACAGCGCGGCGGCGGGAGACACCCCCGCCCCCTTCGGAGACGCAGAACTGCGCTTGACTCTCGCGGCCTCCGTCACCCGCTCAGCTCCCTGCCCTAGGCGGGGAGGCCGGCTTGTGGGGGTTGAGTGGCCCGAGCTGAGGGCGCTGAGAGCTCGGGGCGGCGACGACAACGGCGTTGATATCGGTGGTAACAACGGCCTCAGCAGGCGGGGAAGATGAAAGGGTGAGGAAGGGCAGCCGGGCAGTGCCGGACCGGCGGGGAAGAGGGGCTGCGGGAGAGACTCCGGGCGAAGACCCGGCGGAGGGAGATTTCTGGGCTTTTCTCTGCTTAACGGAGGGGGCGGTTGCTCGGCGCGGGGCTGTTGGCGGGTTGAAGGGCCAGCAGAGGCAAGACCCGGGGAAGCCAGGATTTCGGCCCGGAGGACGAGTGTGGGTTGAACGGAGACTAGCAGCTGAGTGGGGCAACAGGGAAAAGCTCTTGTGAGGCGCCTTGGGTCTCCTACCCGGGAGCGGACGGCTGAGCCACCCCCGGCCCACCACTCCAACTGGAGTGGTCTGGTTGCCCTCTTCAGATCCATGCTCAACCCTAGGACCTGCGGTCTTTGACACCTTTCAGTGTTATTTACACTTGGGAGCTGTGCAGAACCTTCTGGAGGGAGAAAGAATTGGAATAAAGAGCATGGAGATGAGTATTAAGAGCTAGTGACTCAACTGGATTTGGGTTGGGTCAGAGCGAGTGGAGGAGGGGGGAGAGCGTGAGCTCTGTAGTCTTGGGGTGCCAAAATGTTTAAGGAAGTATTGTTGATCAGTAGGTGGAGCTATTGCTCCAGTAGTTTGCTGTTGCCCCTGTGCCGTGGGGGTGGGGGGTCCTTCATTGCTACTACGAAGCTTTTTTCGGGTGATTAGCAAAATTAATATTTTTTCAGTTTCCCTTTTGGATAAAATTAGGGATTATTTTGGTTCAACTACTTCCATTTGGATATCGCCTTACTATTAAGTTATATACTATTAAAATATTAATTACATAACACGGTGTTTTAAAATATTTCCTAAATTAGCCTTTTTGGAGCTCTCCTTTTATCAATGTTAAAAGCTTTCTGAGATGGCTGAATTTTTTTCTGTTATAGCAAGTCAGTTAAAGAATTGTAACTATGTGTTGAGTTAGTGAAGACTTTCAAACTGTTCAGCCTTTTGAGGATGAAATAAAAGTCAGTCTTCAAAATAATCTTATGCTGCCTAAAACAAGGCTCTCGGTGTGTATATGTGATTGGAGTCGAAGAGGTCCAAGAAGGGTTAATTGGCCTTAGGTCTATACATGGTTCCTTTCTCTGATTTTGCTTTAAATATTGGAAATTCATTCTAATGCTGAATTGTGTGTTTTACATTAAGTTCAGAAATCGTGAAATTTTCATAGTACCTGCACTATATTAAACATCAAGTTCTGAAGTTCCAATCAGGATACTAATTGAGGTATGAGAAGTATTTGTAGCACTTAAATCATGATCTAGGAAGTTTGGCTATTTTATTTATGATCCAGTATAATTTAGTGAGATTTTTCTTTCCCTTGAACATGGGTGCTTTCTCTTATTCGTTTATTCTTTTTTTTTTTTTAAGGTTTTATTTATTTGATAGCACGAGCAGGGGGGAGAGGGAGAAACAGACTCCCTGCTGAGCAGGGAGCCCTGGGGGGCTGGATCCCAGGACCCTGGGACCATGACCCCAGACAAAGGCAGACGCTTAACGGACTGAGCCACCCAGGTGCCCCTCGTTTTTTATTCTTATCAGCACACAATACTTCTCATCTTGTTCTGTTAGAGTACTAAAAATGAGGCTGAATAGTTCCCGAGTTGAGGCTGCATGGATTTATAAAGGAGGACTTCCAAGAAATTATTCTGGTGTTTAGATCCAAAATCTTTGGTCTAGCTCAGTCTTGCTAGGGTGTAATGTTCTTTCTAATACCTAACTTGGCAATAGAAATGGGGTCGAACAGTGGTATTATTCACAATCTACCTTCAGTTAATACACTCATGAGGCATTATCTTTTTACTTAAAATGGTGATTTATGTGTAACAATGGTGATTTATTATTCTGGGGATGGTGGCAAATCCCCAGAAACGAGTAACTGGCCAAATTTAGAGGAAATTTATAGTTACTGAATTTGTACTGCAAGCCAGCAACTATCCCCAAAATGAATAGTCTTTAAGTCTAGTTCCTGTCACTTATGATTGGAAACTTAAAGTTGTGTTCCTTTTTTTTTTAAGATTTATTTATTTATTTGACACAGAACGAGAGAGAGAGAGAGAGAAAGCACAAGCAGGGGGAGGGGCAGGCAGGCAGAGGGAGAAGCATGCTTCCCACTGAGGAAGGAGCCAGATGTGGGGCTCGATTCCAGGACCCTGGGATCATGACCTGAGCGGAAGGCAGCCGCTTAACTGATTGAGCCACCCAGGCACCCCTTAAGTTGTGTTCCTAATGGTAAACTTTTAAGATGATTTCACAGGAATAGTCCCTTTAACTTCCCATTTGAAGAACTACCAGGTAAGATGGGACTTCAAAACTTTTTCCATTTCTAAGTCTTATATTTAAGGCACAGAAAAAATGAAGGCAATAGACATTATTTAAAAAGATTCTAAGGTCCTTTAGTTCAAACATTTGTATCACCATGCACAATGTGGTTAGCGTTATAGTCCTGACTCTTGATTTGGAAAGGCCTGTGAAAATGAAACCGTGGTCCTGGTTATATATTTTTGTGTGAAATTTTTTTTTTTTTTTTAAAGATTTTATTTATTTATTTGAGAGAGAGAGAATGAGAGATAGAGAGCATGAAAGGGAAGAGGGTCAGAGGGAGAAGCAGACTCCCTGCTGAGCAGGGAGCCCGATGCGGGACTCGATCCGAGGACTCCAGGATCATGACCTGAGCCAAAGGCAGTCGCTTAACCAACTGAGCCACCCAAGCGCCCTGTGTGAAATTTTATTTGCTAAGTGTCTTACTGTATATTGAGCTAACTGTATAAGTTGAATAGAAATACCTAAAATTAGAAACATGAAGATCTTCTAACTCTAAATCAATCTACTATTTAAATGTTTTATGTCGTTGCCTATATTGCCTATCATTTTCAAACTTTTAAAACTTACTTTATCTGATTTTCCTTCATATTTTTACTTTGTGTTTGTTAGTAATAGCAGTAGGACATTCCATTGTGTTGGCATGTATTTGCCTTTCTTCCATAGTAAATTTCCAGTTTTTAATTACTGCATGTATTTATATGCATGCTCAAGAAACTTGAGGGTATATTACAAGATGTTATTTCCTTTGTACTGAAGCTGCTTGTTTTTATGGACCAGGGATGTTGTAGGTTGAATTTGTGGATGGTAACCTGATAATTTTCATCTATTATTCTTCTCTAGGGAAGGTGATATTGAAGCAAGAAGTCACAGCCATGACTGAGATGGCAATATAACTAGTCAGTATAATAGAGAGTAAAACTGAATCCATATACCTTTGAATTGTAGCAAAGAGGTATAAATTAGTTCTAACAAAAGTGTCTTTAGCGGCACCTGAGTGGCTCATTCTGTTGAGCTTCTGGCTCTGGATCTCAGCTTGGGTTTTGATCTGGTTGGGAGTTCGGTACCATGTTGGGATCTACGCTGGGCGAGGAGCTTACTTAAAAAAAAGTCCTTAACAAAATATGAATACATGCAAAATAAAGATGGGGAAGTAGATAATATAATACAATATATAGAACAATGTAGTTCGAAATAGGAGATTCTGCAGTCAAAAGAATCTATGTTGAAATATAGTTACCTCTGACAGCATATGGACTCGGAGCACAAGAGAGTTTTCTGAAGTGCTAGAAATATTCTCTATCTTTACTTTGGATATTGATTGCATAGATGTATACATATGTAATAAAGTCAAGGAGCTGTGAACAAGATTTGTGCTCTTTACCATACATATTCTATACTTCGGTAAAACAGGTGTTTTTTTTGTTTTTTAAGGTTGTATTGCTGTTTTTGTAGGGGGGACAGGCAGTGAGGCTGAAGGAGAATTCACGAACTTTTGTAAACCTCCAATTCATACTCCTATGAAGCCAGTAATTTGTGGGATTTGGATTGAGATACTGTATTTTAAAATACTTTGTAATATTC